TTATAATATTATTTTTTATTATATAAATGATTGTTAGACTCAGTTCTTTGGCTTGGCCATCTGTACATGATTGAAAATGGCTAACTGGGTGGTTCCTGTATACTATTTGGAAGCTTAGCTCCTCTTTTGAGCATTAACTATCAGGAAACCATAGCAGATCTTACAGAACATGCCTGATACTATAAATGTTTTTTTTTTTTCCATCTTGCTTTTATTATTATGCATTTGAAAGTAGCACATTTGATACAGTTTCTTTTGGCAATAATGTTAAAATGAATCTAGCTTAATTTATTACACCTTTGAATAAAAACCGTTACCTAACTGGTCTTTCAAGAATATGAAAGCTTTCTGCATTTTATGTTTGGGTAATTTCCTTGATTGAAGGTTAAAAACTTGCAAATAAGAAATAGTGACAATTTTACAAGTATATGGCTATTTTTCTGAAATGCATCTACACCAGCCAAATCAGTTCCTCTGTTTATTTGAGAAGATTTCGTATGAACATTTCTCACAGCATGGAACAGCACTGAGTTAATTTTTATAGTACTTACAGTTCATGATATCTGATTCTTCACTTATTAATTTGTTTCTTGGTCTCCAAGAAATCCTGTGTGTGGACTATAAAAGTAAGAATATAGCTGTGTTTGCTTAAAACAAGCCAATCCTGAGCTGGTATGCAGTGGAATTCCTTCCAATAGTAAATCTATTTTTCTTGTTTTAGAGTTCTGGTGATTATGTTTAGGTGGTGGTCTTGTTAGGAGCCTCTGTTGATGGCTGGCATTTCCCACATCCTTATTGTCCTTTTCTGAGGAATGGCTTGCTGTGAAAAATTTATTTCAAAATTAATCTGCCAGCAATATCTTAGAGTTATGGAGTTATTACAGCCATCTTTTTCAAAAGTAACTACTTTGTATTGCCACAGTCAAACTGGTGCTGGCTTCTCAAAACATTATGAATGTCATCCTTTCTAATGGTACTGGACTTCCCAGAAAATGCTGTTTCAAAAGAGCTTAAAGAGTAATCCTTACTATGCCTGGAAAAATCACTTAGATTTCTACTGCTGTTCTGATCAGGTTATCCTAAATGGAGGTAGCTAGAAAATCTTAAATCCTTTGGGGACTTTGTCACATCTTTGTTAGAAAGTTTTCTGAAGCTACTTTGAGAACTTTCTGATGCATGTTCAGATGATATTTGCTTGAGAAATAGTCCATTTCCAGATACACAAATTTCTGGTTCCGTTTGCTTTGCAAGTTTGCCAAGATTTGCATGAGGACCTTTTGGGTAGTTTCCATGTTTGGCTGGCGTATCCTTCCAAGTCAGAGGATTGTATACAACTTATTCATCAATAGGACATGTGTTTCTTTGCTGCAGTAGCCAACTGAACACATTCCCAGTGAAGCTGAAAAGACAGGAAGGTCAGCTGTTGCATAATATTTCTTAGCTACATATGGACGAATCAATTCTTCTTGCATATAACAGTCATTCAAAGAAGCCTCTTCTCCAATGTTACAAGTGGAAACCGCCAGGAACTTCACTGATTACGATGGGGCTATGCTGCTTATGTACAAAATGAATAGATTCTAAGTTTTGGGCACCGGTAAGCTAAAGAAAGTTAGTTAAAATTTTACTGACTGCTGTAAATTGGATTATTTAAATCCTATTTTTAAAGGTGCTGCAAATACCAAGTTTCTTAACTGTAACAGATAATAAATACAATTACACATATATTTGCTACTAAAAGGAATTAGGGATGACTGCTAGCCTTCCCTTTCAGCTTAATTCCCCTTTCAATTCTGCTCCCTATCAATTCTGGACTTAAAGGGCAGTAATTACCAAGATGGTGACCAAGATCCTTCAAATGAGCAAGGAGGTTGAATTTGTATTACTACTGCTGTGTCATCAGTGAAGAAATACTGCTGGTCAGGTAAGCTAGCTTGAGCTAAATAAATCTGAAAAGGGCTGTCTTCAGGGAACTTGGCTAAGGGTGCTGGTACAAACTAGCAAAGATAAACTTCACAGGTTGGCTGACTAATTTCCAATTTATGAAACTTACTGCAGGCTTGCAGAAGGCTCCCCAACTTTCAGGCAAAATCGGCTCCTTTTTGCAAAAAATATACTGAGACAGATCAAAGCTCGACTGCTAAGTGTTTGACATTATACACTACTCAGAAGGTGTAAATATGCCTCTCAAATACTGGGAAGGTGCTGACACTGATTAAGCAGCACGGAAATAATCTAATTATTGTGGCTTCAGCTGATAAACTAGCAAACCTGAACAGGCAATATTTCAGCATTTCAATATCCCAGAGGGTCTAAATCTTTGCAAAATAATCTGGTTAAAATTTTTTAAAAATTTAAATTTTTTCAAGATTATCTACTAGAAGAGATGCTACTGAGTTCTTGCAGAAGGTATCAGAGTTGGAAGAATATGAATATGAACCAAACTCCTTAAGAGAAGTACCACATCATTCAGAATTTGTTCTGTAGGGAAGTAAACATCAGTAACAGTAGATAATGGTGAAGAGTATTTGAATTGTCACTAATGGCTGTAAAACATATATATCCCTGATGCAACTGTTGTTTCTAACATTATTTGCATTGTCTAAGCTCCAAGAATAAGAATGCAGACTAGAGGAATCATCTGGTTCATTACTAGCAGAGAATTATGTATCAGACCATTTCATCATACTGCTCCTTGCAGTTGATTTGTAGGAAATTATTTTAGCTGCCATTTCTAACCATTATGCTTCCTGTGCCTTAAAGCAGATGGTAACACTGAGGCATACAGGTAAGCAAGGATGTGAACTTTCAGACTCGTGAGATGAACACTCTTATCAGTGGTGCCTTAAGGGTTCCAGTGCACCATATGCTGGAGGATGTCAAAGTCCAATGTGCTACAAGTTAGTATGCTATGTGAAGTTTGGCTCTTTAATGTTTGGAATACTTTTTTTTTTTTTTCCCTTACCTTGTGATTACATGGTAGGAGACTTACATGCTGACCAAGTTGAAAGCTCTTCAAACAAAGTCTACACTGAATACCCAGAGCAAGTAAATTACTGTGTTGACTAATTAAAATGATGGGTAAAGCTTTTACAGTGTTCTTTGTGGTCCAACTAGTCCTAAAAGAAAACAAACAAAACCCAGTGAATTTGGAGAAACAGCAACTAAAGCTGAATGGTTCGGAATGATAAGTTGACAGAAGTTGCTCTTCAATAGTACCTTAAATTATTGGTTGGGCTAACCAGTCTCTTAAACCAGAGCTGCTGTGAAAGTCATTCCAGAGATGTTGATCCTACTGTGGCATTCATAAACAGACACATGTGCTTCCCAAAAAAATGAACTAGTGTGTTCATTTAGCTTGGAACAGTTGCATAAAGTAAGCCATGGAATTCTACACCATAATTTCTACATCAATTTCTCTGAACAAGAGCTACAAAAATTTTTGTGACCTTTTGAAACCCAAGCTCAGAATTCATAGTCCAAATACTCTGATCTTTTGCAAAGCTACCTTAGTTTTGAAATTATGTGGGATCATATCTTGCTCTATCTTGGATGATGGACTCTAAACCTAATGCTGTAGTCTGGTTCGGTTAGTAATTGGTATTCGTCTAGTTTTTAATTAGAAGCAATTAATGTTTGAATAAGTATCTCAGTCATCCTTTTCAGTAGTTTTTTTCTTTTTTCTTTCTATTTTCTTTCTTTTTTTTTTTCATTTTTGATAAAAGCATAAGATAAGGATAAAAACCTGACCAGCTATCAGTGGTGAAGTTACTATATGGTGTAGAAGAATGACTGCCTTATCTGTATTATAAACCGGTGTTCATAGTACATGGGCACAGAAGTATCTTCAGTCTTTGCTTTGGACAGTACCAGTTCATTTTGGAGATGGTCCTGGAATATGAACCTGTAATCCTTTCTGAAAGTTTTTTTGAAATGCTGATCTTTTGTGCATTGCAGTACCTACATCAGGTAGTACTGTTTTTCTGATGAGAATCTTTGTGCACTGATGAGGCAGATCCAAAGATGAGCAAAAGCTTTTGTTTCTCTCTGTATCATGTTTCATTTCTGTACAGTAAAGCTGTCAGTTAAGTTTTGATCATTGTATTTATTATGTCAAATATAAGTGAAAAACTGATAGAATTTTGAAAATAGTTAACTACAGGATATTTTCATTATGAAAATTTATAATTGTTTCAGTTTTTTTTACTATGAGTTTCTAAACTACATGAAAAGCTTTAGTTTTCTAAGTATATTTCATTTTAACTATGTTAAGATAACTTGTTACTTTATTAGAAGTATTAATTACTGTATGTTCTTATTCAAAATATTTTTATTGCCTTTCCTTCAGATACTGTTAAAAGAATATTTCATGTTTGGCATAATAGATAGTATGGAAAAAGAAAAGCATCTTGCTTCTCCTGAAGATATAATATCTCTTCGTCAGAATTATTTCCTGGGTTAAAGCTTTTAAATGTTCTTTTTTGGGCTGATAATTCTGAAAGCTGTTGAAGAGCTCTCCATTTGTTACTTCTCTTCTGTAATGTGCAAAAGTATTTGAGACAAATTGAAGTCAAGATAGATGATGAAGTCAAGATGTAAATGATGAAAAGAGGGACTAAGAACCATTCAACAGATCTGTTTCCTAACTATTTTTGGTGTGGCAAATACAATTAACCATCTTAAGTGAAATCTCGTACTCAGACTTTTGCAAAGTCTGGAACAAAGAATGTCTACTTCAAGTCTTCAACTAGGACTTGGAGACATTCTCATTGTTTGTAAAACAACAACTCTCTCAAACTTGAAATGCTGATATTTCTGGAAATCTAGAGACAAAGTAGCAGCAAAATTAACTTCTAAAACATAAGTATATCCATTTATGGTTGTTAAAGTAATCTGAATTCACTGATTTTGTTGTTGTTGGGGTTTTTTTGTTGCTTTGATTCTGCATAGTGAATGAATGATATAAAGGAACCAGCTATCTGTAGAACTGCACATACTCATTTTCACAGCTCCTTAATTTTGTGATTTCTGTGCTCTGATTCTAGGCCTGGACTCTTAGGAAATTTCTTGTGGCACCTATTTGGAAAAAAATGTGCTGACAGAACTTCCCCCAGCCTGTAATAGTCTCAGGTGCACCTCTTAGAAAAGGTCATCTGTGTCCTGGATAATACAGTTGAGAAGTTAATAACGTACAGTTAGATTTAATTGAGGAAGATTCTGGCAGTGATGCGTTATGCCTATGCCCTGGACAAGCAGAGTTCAAAGAACCTCCAAAGTCTTCTCATTTTATTTTGGTTGCTATGGCTCTTCTTTTGTATCACACTGTCAACTGCAAGGGCTTGTCTACATAAGGAAATGAGAATAAGTAAGCTAGGATGTCTTTGCATCTGCTGTCCCCCTAAGGGTGCCACAGTGCAACATATACAGGCAGAGGACGATCATGCTGTCTTAGTTTATAGTGTTATTTTTTCTTACCTCTATCTTTTTGTAACTACTGAGCTGGTAGCTAACTAAGTCTAATTCGATGCAAGGTCTGCATGATTTATATAAGGAGAACTGAAATCAATTAATGTTATATAGGTCAGGGTAGGATACAAAAAAGAAAACCTGTTTGGTACTTGTCTAAAAATAAAAAAGTGGAGAATGGCAAAAGCCAGTGAAGCATTCATGACATAGGTGATATTCAACACACTCAATACAGCTAAAAGGAAAACGAAAAACACATCAACAGAATAAGGAGTTAGGTTAACAAGCAGTTAACACTTTATTACAAAGTAGGAACTAAATTTATTATTTGGAAAAGGACAACCCCAAATATTTACCACAGAATTGTTTGGAGATTTACTGCATTAAAGGCAAGTTTAAAAATACAAACTTTTGCTTTGTTTACCATGAATGTGTATTTGGTTACAAAGCACATATTGTTTGCTCTGTAGGCAAAGTCATAACAAAGGCAGAGAAATAAGAAGCAAGCTATAAGATATACTCAAAGACATAGAACTGTCAAAATCTTGGTTTAAAACTACTTAACTTGTAGCGCTTCCCTACAACTGGCAATACTCTGCAGTTATTACAAGGGATTCCAAGGTGTGTATCGAGTCTTGTTTTCTCTGTTGCAGTCACAAGTTGTTTAGAGTTTCTAAATTATTCTACAATGAGCCTTAGAAGTGCAAATTTTTCTCTGCAAAGTGGACACTTCACTAGAGAGTCATTCTCCAGTTCATCTTGGTGATCAGCCCAAGTTTTCATGCATTTTATGTGAATGTTGTTAGCACAACTCTTTCTACATAAAACGAATACCAATTTCTGTCATCTCTCCAGAAGCAGATAAGAAAAATCACATAGCAATACTAAGTAGTCTTCCCTTTTCTTTTCCTCCTTTCCCTCCACTCACTGTTTAACTTGTGGGATTGCTGAGTTTTCCAGATTGGAAAAGGGCTATAACAACTGTCAGGTATTTATGCCTGTCTATTGAAGCTAGCTATATTAGCAAATCTTGTAACACTTATTCTATAAATAGAAAGGTAGCAAGACAAAGATCAAATCGTATAGTTAACCTGCAGTAAGTGATAGGAAGCATTTTCTTTAATAACTCCTTCTGACAAATGGGACAAACATCTTCTTCATCAATTTCTTTCTGATCAATGCATCTGTCATTCTCCTGGTGTAATGTTTGTGAGAAGCGAGTTTCCTCTGGATTTTGTGTTTGTTCTTGATGCAATCGCTGAAAAACATCCTCAATTTCTCTTTCCAGAAGACCCAACTTAAAAGCATCTAGCAAAGTAAACACAAAAATGAAAGGTGTTTTGGAAGAACTCTGCACTTAACTCACTTGTCATAGTTCTCCATCTATGAAATGCAGTAGGTACTCTGTCAAATATTTGCGGTATGTTTCAACCCCCCAAAATGCTGTAAATTGTCCTTTATTACTTGCAAAGAAGCTGTTAACAATATTGTTTATGCAAGGTCTTATCTAAAATGGTGTCCAAGGCAAAAATGAATGAAAATTGTTTCTAAACTCTGAAGTTTTCAATAATTTTTCCATAAGTTAAATTTGGTTCACTAAATGTATTGATCGAAGCAGCATTTTGTCTCAAAAGGCCTTTATAAATATGTTTAGGTAAGAGTAAAAAAGTTTTTGCTTCTAAGTACTGGAAATGAACAACTATGGGGAATTTTCTGAAATATTGTTTCTTGGAAAAATAAACAGCATAGTTTTTCTCTCTGGTGACCTCTGTTCAAAAAAAAAAACCGAACCAAAACCAAAAGCAACCCTAAAAATCCTTTTCAAACTCCAAAGAATTAAGCCTTGCACCATCTTTTGAAACATGGAATAATAAATAAGTAAACATTATTTCCTTAGTATAATTAATGATGCTTGTGAATTGAATGTATTTTGCTTCTCATTCAAGAGCCTAACCTCACAACCAAATACTGACACTTCAGTAAAACACTGGAGGGCCTTCCTTGGAGTTTCCTATTTTGACAAGAGAATGATGCAAGGTAGGAAATTCCTCTGCTAACAGCCAGCTTTGGCAAATTAATCTGTTCTCTGAAATTCAGTCTGGGTACAGTTCTGATACCACACTTCACTGTATTCCATAGGCAGAAACTAGTTACCAATTCTAGTGCCAAGTTAAGATCAGCTCACTGATTTCTACTGAAGTTATTTTGTCTATACAAAACTTCAGAAAGTAAAATGTTCTAAAATCTGATTCTGATAGAAAAATACGAGCTGGGTTCTGACTAGAAGATGTATGGTTTTGTGTGTAAATATTTTTTTAAAAAAGTAACTTCTTGAGTGGTGGCCGTTCTTTAAGGTTGATTTGTGTTTAGCTACTTTGTTAGTACTTGGGAAAAGATCCTTAGACTAAGTATTTTGTGGAATGTTTACGCTATTTCTGTTATTTGAGTTCCTAAAGTTCTAGGAAAGGAAATCTAACAAATCGGTGGACAATCTGGCTCATAATAGCCTGCAATCCTGACTCCTGTCAGAAAACTAACCTGGCTATACAGCTTATACCCTCTGGATTAGAAAGCGCTGTGGTTTTAGTGGCAGAAAGGAACAAATGTCAAAATCGGTCAAGGATTACGTTTTACACAGGTTACTTTCTTCATATACCCATAAGTTTGAGGGATGATCTCCATGACATTGGCAGCGTTCATGGAATACTACAGTTTACATGATGTAAAAGTAAAAATGTCACCCCAAGCTAGGAAAGTTGTTGCAGGTATATTAGTTTATGCTGAAGGACTTGCTACACAAAAGTGATAAAAGATGAACTGTAGTTCTATAGCCAATTTCTTATTAAATGAAGCAGCAAATTTGTCAGTGTCTACGCACTAAGAATATCTTGAGAGCACTAGATTATCTTCAGTACAAGCTCTTCTTCTAAACTAATAGCTTTTACTATATATATTTGAAGTTGTTGCTTTTTTAATTTTTCTTGAAACTGGAGTTCTACTCAATGATATAACACAGTGTTCTGTATCAGAAAAAATGAAACAAATTGGAAAATGCCTGAGAGCACTGAACTTTTTTTTTTAAGTGGAAGAAGGAGGAAGGAACAAGGAACAAGAAGTTGATCTATAAAGAAATTTTATTAGAACTCCTGAGGACATTGGTTCCTGCATTTAAAGTTCATAAGCTGTACATGCAAGTCATAAGAGAGGCTAGTACATACATTCATGATCACTTGGTAATCGATATTTTTTCAGCAGCATCCTACAATTCATAATCAAAATATCTGATCTATAAAAACATCAATGTAAAGTTAGTTAGTTGTTAGTTTTTTACAGTTTAAATGGAGCAGCCTTGTAAGAGTCTTAGACAGTCTTACAAAGATTAACAAGTACTTTTTGTGATTTTAATTTTAGTTTGTGATTTTAATTAACAAGTATTAATTGTGTGATTAGATGAGAGAAGCTGAGTAATCTTCAATTTAATAAATTTAAACCAGTTTGAAAACACAAATTTAAATCAAGGGTGTAGTTTCAGTCCTAGCTTATATTCCTGTCACTGATTATTCCGTGACCTGATTCCACTCTCTAGACTGCCAAAAAAACTAGCCTAGCCAAAAATATTAGTTTTCTGTTGATCTAGTAGATTTTGATTCAGCATGTTGGATCCCAAGACAAGTAATACATCCCTAATGGCGAAGAGAGAACAGGACAACTACTGTGGCAGCAGGGAACAATTTCATTGATTTCTGTGTGATGCTTCATGTTGTAGTGGTTTGTGACTCCACTTGGAGTGCATCAGGGGTTTTGGTGCATGGTGCGTGGGTTTCTTTTGAAGTCTGAAATGAAATTTTGTGTGACTGTTTCTTGACACCAGGTTTATCTTTGCTCCGACATAAACACATTTGCTCTGATGTGAGAGACGAAGCGGCACC